ATTTTTTACTATCTCCATAGAGGCTGTAGCCTGATTGTTGTTTTCTGAGGAGGTGCACGTCCGCTATGGTCTTGTATATGTAGCCTTTGTAGCTACACTGTAAGCTCTTGATGATTAAGTATAAATGCATCTTGATATATCAGCAAAGTTGATTAAAACATAGAAGGCGACTATTTAGAGATTGAGAAAAAATAATAAGCATGTTGGGAGAGATGCTGATCAGTGGAAAGTGATGGTAAAAATATGGAAGTTGTTACGTGTGTAATACCCACATACTGTAGGTGACATTGGTTCTCGTGACATTGAGGCTGTGTCTTCTTCAGCAGGATGCTGTTTGCTTTGCCAACAGTCAAACACACTAATCCTGTTAGAGGCCAAGGTTGTTTTGGACCACACACACAAAAACATGCACACAGGTACACACACACAGTTTCCGACATTCCTCATCCATCAGGTACCGCGTTGCGCTCCAGTTCCATTTCAGCTTCATGCTCACCTCATAGATCAAGTCTTCCATACACTCCCCACCACAGCGTTGGCACTGGTGCAGATCTTTATGTTCTATCTCCGTGACACATGCTGACTGTAATCTAACACACTACTCTTGCACCCCTAGCACCATCATCCAGGTGTATACAGTAGATTTAAATAAAGCTGAGTTACCCTGAACATCCATTACTCTTAAGCGGAGTGGTGTTTGGGTTAGCAGGGAGACAAGCAAGTGCTATCAGTGAAAGAAGTTTATGGTGGCTTCACAAAGAGGTTCTAGTTGGGTGACACTCACTTAGGTAAGGCTGGGTTTCCACACATACACACACACACACACACACTGTCTCTTGTTTCTTTTCATTCTCTCCCTCTCCCTTTGCCCCCTTTTTCTTCTCTTCTTTTGATATCTTCTCTTTTTCTTTCTCCTTATACACATGCGCAGACAAGAAATAAAGGCGAGTTTGTGCACTGGGTATTAAAGAATGCTCTTTGAGAATGAGGGATGAAAAGAGAAGAGTCGTAGAGAGAGAAAGAAGCTCCTGGTTTGATGTCCAGAATACAACAGTAGGTGAGGGGGAGAATACGAGAGGGAAAAAGAGGGCAGGAGAGAGGATCCAGCTGGTTCTTTTCATAATGAGGGGCACCCGCTTGTGGGTGTCAATGTGTATATGAAAGGAAAAAGAGGGTGAAACAGAACGAGATGCAGGCACAGAGAAGAGTTGAAGAAAAAGGCAGAGAGAGACAGACACAGTATTTAAGATGGTTTCACATTAACTTTTCAGTAGATGTGGGACTGACTCTATGGGTCTCCTCTACTCTACCATGCTGCTTTGCCTGCAGTCTTGGATCTCTTTTTTCTAGACACACTTTACTTAACCCAAGCTTTTTGGGGTGGTTCGGATGCTTATAAATATTACATGCATTATAGATATACTGTAAGAGTGTGTGTGTGTGTG